AAGGGCCACCCCTAGGAGCAACTGAAAGAACCACTGGGACTGCCCCTGGTGTGGAGGGTCTGCCTGTATGTGTCTGCAAGTCCTGGGGGCTGATTCTTCGGGTGCAAAGGAGCAGAAGACAGGCAGCTGGAGGAGGAAGGATGCACTTAGGTCAGGGGGCAGGGTGAAAGGGGCCGGTGGCTCTCCTTGGGAAATTCACAAGGACCTACTCAGAAGGCAGAGTCAGAGGGTTTGCAGAATGTAGTCCCAGAGTTTACTCGCTGAGATCAGCAGGTCCCTGTCCTTCCGAAGGCCTGCGTGGACCAGGGACCAGCCGTCAGGGCTGCTCGGTCCGGGCGCCAGCCGATGCGGGAGGAGGTCTCGGTGTCTGACCTAAATCTCTGGTGCTCGGGCCTGAGCTCTTTGCTTACAAACCCTCCCAGCTGCCTTGGGAAGGAAGGGGAGGAGGGGGAAATAGTGTCGCCCTTTGAACAAGCATTTTTACGTTGGGGAGTTTATTCGACAGAAATAGATAAAGATGCTTAATGAAGGTCTGCAGTGGACAAAAAATAAAATCAGCAATGTCTGGCCCTGGGTGACTATTCCGTGAATATTACTGACGTAGAAAAAAAGTCCCTGGTTTATTTCTAACAGAAAACAATCAGGTGCACACAATGTTGTATTGTGCCCCACGAGTAAATACTCAGGACGCAAGACCAGATTGAGTCATTTAATAAGCTGGCCACTGAGAGGGACTTATGGCTCCAAATCTCCCAGTCCCAAAATGGTGGCAACATCATGCTTATATAGGCAAATATTACAAAGGTATCGATTACATCTTTGGGTTTGGAATGAGGAACCTGGTTTGCACAAAGCAGTTACAAAAGCGAAATTGAGCAAGTTAGTTAACTATAAAGATTAATTATAGTTTTGGGTCTCCGGATCACTGAATCAACGGAAACACATTATCTGTAGCCACTGAGGCAAATTTAGGGTAATTGTGCTGTCCTGCTTCCCAGGTACAGAAGAATGTGCTTTGATGACCAGTAAGATCACAATCAATGGGATATTCAAACCACCAACAGCGAAGGATTCAATCGATTGGGATAGCATACATAAGTTCAGAAAATCAAAGTAACTTTTCTGTTGTTAAACAAAGCAAATAAGTACAGAAACCAAACAGCAGGGTTAAAGTTAAACTGCAGTTTCTACCTGAGATGATTGCTACCATACTTCAACAGTAGCATTCCGGGCGCTGGCTGTGCGGTCTAGTCTTTAGAATGTGGACACATCAGAACCTGAGGACATCCACCCCATGGGTAACAATGCTGAGCTAGGGCCGCACAGCGCACCTGCTCGCAGGGGCTCCCAGCCACAGCTGATGCCCCGCGGGGGGCCACAGGGAGGCAGCCACTAGGGTCCCCTGCCCGGCCCCAGTGCCCTGTCTGCTGAGTCACCAAGCCACCCGGCTCTCACCCCGAGTCCCTGGGCATGGCCTGTCCATGAGGGTGGGCTTCTCACCCGGCTCCCAGAGGGAGCACCCCAGAGGCAAGTATTGAAAGAGCCAGCGATGGCCCTGGCTGCGGTGTCACTCCCCCAGAGTCTGTTGGTCAGAACCAGCTCCAACTCAGCAAGAGGAGGCTGAGCGGGGGGCCGCGGGGACCTACCTGCGGCCGGAGCGGGACGCGGGGGCGCTGACCCACGGGCCGGGCGGGCCTGCGCCTTCTCAGTGGAAGTGGCAGCTCCTGCATCACCCAGGGGACCAGGCCGGCTGCCGGGCTGGCGCGCCTCTTGCTGGGTGGCCTCGGTCACTGGCCGCCCCGGGCGCCGACGCTCAGATCGCTCAGCCTGGGAGCGCGGCGGGGCAGCCCCTGGGAGCGCCGCTCAAGGCGGATGCCCGGTAAAGCCGGCTGCGAGCGCTGTGCACGGAAGCGCCTGCTTTCACGGTGTGTTTTCCTTTTGTGATTGAAGACATCGTTTTCAAAGACGGAAAAGAAAAAGAAACCGCTTAGCACTAAGAGATATACACTCGGAATTCGCGCCCTCCCCCGCGCCCCCCGGGAAATGCCCTGGAGCCCCGGGCCCCTCGGGCGGGTCCGGTGGGTCCGGCGGCCACTCCCCTAGCCCTGGCGCTTCCGCACAGCCCGCTGCAGAGGCGGGAAGCCGTCCCGGAATGTGACTGAGAGGCTCTGCGGGCGCGGAGCCTGGGCTTTGTGCCGCAGCTCACATCTTCCCATGACGCCCGGACAGAGGGCCGCCTCCTGGAGGCTGAGGACCCAGGGCCGGGCGCTGGCGGGGCCGGCTCTCCCAGAGGCTGGCGAGGGAAACTGAGGCAGGACCGCAGTCAGGGCCCGGGCTTCTGCTCCCTCACAGCGCTCCGCCCACACCCCCCTGTGTTTGGGGGAACGCGTGCCTCGGGGGAGGAGACGGTTTTGATGCGGGAATTACAGCAAACGCCGCTCCTGCCGAGTTAAACCTCCGCCTTCTCGTTTCCTTTTTAGAAAATCGATGCGCCAGCGGGCCTCCTCGCCCTGCGGGCCCCTGCGCAGGTCTGTCTCCTGCAAGGACCTCCGGAGTGGCTTTGGAGGGCCCCGGGCATCTACCTGCACAGAAGCAACCGGAAACGCAGGGCCTGTGGCTTAGTTTCCCAGGAGAGGCAGTGAGCAGAGACCTAAGGAAATGTCAGCTATGAATACCGAGCGTTTGCGTGACGGCTGCGTGATGGAGGCGTAATTAGACGGGACAGAGACATTTGAAAGCGTTTGATGGAGAAGTTTAGCACCACCCGTCAAGCGGGGTTCAACTGGGAGTGAGAGACTGGTGAAAAGTCAGGATACATATAACGTTCTTTTCTGGGGAGACCCTAGCATCTATTCATTCCTGCCTCCTTAGGGCTGCGGGCAAGGTGGGGTGTGAGAGAACGTGGGCATGGCTCAATGGATAGAAAAAATAGATTCTGAGAAATGAGGTGCTTTTCTAAGTCAGGGGGACAGGATCCCTTTCCTCCAGCTGATAACCTTTCCTATGACCCAAATCAGCGGAGCAGAGTTTGGCATGCCTTAGAGTCAGGCAAGCTAGAGTCGACTGCTCCCTCCCCCACCCACTCACTATGTGGCTTTGGGCAAATCCCTAAAAATCCAGCCTCATCTGTAAAATGTGGATGTAGGCATGACAAGAGGCCTCCTTTCTCTTCCATGATTCCCACCTCAGGGGCTTTGCACTTACCATTCCCACTGCCTGGAATGCTTTTCCCACATACATGTACGTGTAATGTCTGTGCATATATAAACACATATTGACATGTTTGTGTACCTGTGTGCATGTCTATATGTGTGTATATAAACAGATCTAGACATATATAGATGTGTGTCTATTTGCAGAGATATGTCTATATATGTTTGTATATGAATAAACAAATTGCAGCACATTTACACACAGGAATGCCACATAGCTGTTAAAAGGAGTGAAAGAGATCTACAAGTACCCAAAACACACAGGCCTCAAGAACTAACGTTGAGTGAAAAAAGTAGCTGGATGGTGGACTCAGTAAAAGAAAGTAAGAGCAGACAGCATGGCCCTGAGACTGTGGCTGCCCCTGAGGGAGCAAGAGGAGGTAGGAAAGGATGGGAAAGAGGAGGGAAGGAAAGAGTGAGACTGCAGGGCCCCAGCCGGTGTGGCTCAGTGGATAGAGAGTCGGCCTGCGACTGAAGGGTCCCAGGTTCAATTCTGATCAAGGGCACGTACCTTGGTTGTAGGCTCCCGGCCCTGGTCGGGGGCATACAGGAGGCAACCAATCAATGTGTCTCTCTCACATCAGTGTTTCTTTCTGTCTCTCCATCTCTCTTCCACTCTCTCTAAAAATCAATGGAAAAAATATCCTCGGATGAGGATTAAAAAAATAAAATTAAAAATATATTTAAAAATACAGAATGGGCCTTCAGGGAGAAAGAGAAGGAGGGAGAGAATGGGCCTGTGGGAATTTAAGAGGACTTCAGCTGTGTGGATAGAGTCATTTCTTTAAAAAAAAAAAAAAAAAAAGAGAACAGAAAAAAATATGACAAAATGTTACAGTTTGTTTAACGTGAATGCACTGGGGTATGTATATTTCATATTTTAAAAGGAGGGAGAGAAAGGAAATGAGATTCCAGCCCCCGATTCCAGCTTTGCCACTGGACCTCAGACAGAGGACATAGGTTCTCGGAGGCCAGTTCTCACAGAAGGATGAGTAACACTCAATTCAGGGCCCTGCGAGCTGGTGGCAGAGGCGTCTGAGGGAGGGACAGGACGCCGTGCCATGTGGCAGGAGCGTGAGTCCCAGTGCCTTTCCAGAGGTGCCCTATGCAGAGAGACATTTGTTTTCAAAACTGATCAGGAATCATGTGGGTGCAGCTTCAAGCAAATCTGACGCCAAGAGAAATAACAGGTGCTGCTGTCCCAGCACACACTCTGCACCGCAGGCCCGGACACGGCCAGCACAGGTCTGCACGGACTGACCGCCTGGACGGAGGGCGCGGGTGGTGGAAGGGAAGCTTGACTTTCCTCTGCTGTTATTTTAAATGATGTGCTGTGTGTGCAGGTCACCTGCTCAGAAAACAGTATTATTTTTAAATTAATTGAAAGGCCACGATCTTGTCCGTTCCTTCCATTCTAAACCTACTCAAAAAGCAGAGGCCCTGAGTCCCATTTATGAAAGGCTCTCACGAGGTTGTATAGTCAGCCTCCTCCCTGAACACCCAGCCCCATGCTGCCTTGAGGTCGCACAAAGGGAGGCGAGGGTGTGAGATTGGTGCTTAGGGAGGCTGGGCAGTTCCCTCAGCTCCCTGGGCCCCGGGGCATTCCTGAAGGGCGCATGGGGCAGCCCCACCGGCTCTATCAGAGGAAAAAGTAAGTTGCAACATGAGCATCAAACTGTGTCAAAATAGCACCCGCACATTCACGGGAGGTGTGATTTGCCGGGCAAACGTGATCTCTCCAAAGCCTTGGCTCTGTCTCCCCCACTCTCGCAGGAGGGCCGGCCGCCTATGCCCGGGCCCCCTGAGGCCAGGGAGACCTCTGGCTTCCGAGATAAAGCAGGTCCTCCTCTCCCCGCAGCGAACATCCTGACGGTGATCATCCTGTCCCGGCTGGTGGCGCGGAGGCAGAAATCCTCCTACAACTACCTCCTGGCGCTGGCCGCCGCCGACATCCTGGTCCTCTTCTTCATCGTGTTCGTGGACTTCCTGCTGGAGGACTTCATCCTGCGCACCCAGATGCCCGCGGTGCCCAACCAGGTGGTGGGCGTGCTGGAGTTCTCCGCCATCCACACCTCCACCTGGATCACCGTGCCGCTCACGGTGGACCGCTACATCGCCGTCTGCCACCCGCTGCGCTACCACGCCGTGTCCTACCCCGCGCGCGCCCGCAGGGTCATCGCGGGCGTGTACGCCGCCTGCCTGCTCACCAGCGTCCCCTACTACTGGTGGCCCGACCTCTGGGCGGAGGGCCACGCCAGCTCCGCCGCGCACCACGCGCTCGTCTGGGCGCACTGCGTCACCGTCTACCTGGTGCCCTGCTCCATCTTCTTCGCCCTGAACTCCGCCATCGTGCGCAGGCTGCGGCGGAGGAGCGCGCTCCGCCTGCGCGGCTGCCCCGCGGGCCGCACCACGGCCATCCTGCTCGCCATCACCTCGGCCTTCGCCGCGCTCTGGGCGCCGCGCATCGCCGTCATCCTCTACCACCTGTACGGCGCGCCCGTGCGGAACCGCCGGCTGGCGCACGTGGTGGCGGACGTGGCCAACATGCTGGCGCTGCTGAACACGGCCGCCAACTTCTTCCTGTACTGCTTCATCAGCAGGCGCTTCCGCGCGCTGGCAGCCACCACGCTCAGGGCGCTGTTCACCTGCCGCAAGCAGCCCGCGCAGTTCCCCGCCAGCCACAACTTCTCCATCACCAGCAGCCCCTGGGTCTCCCCCGCCAACTCGCACTGCATCAAGATGCTGGTGTACCAGTACGACAGGGATGGTAAGCCTGCCAGCGCCTCCCCGTGACCCCGGGCTGATCCAGGCCGGGGTAGGAGGGCGGCGACAGAGGCTGCCTGCCTCCAGGGGCTGAGCAGCTCAGACTTCGGGTGAGAACAGACAAAAGAGAACAAAGTTTCCACTTGCGCCATTATTGTCACAAAGGCGTCGTGACAGCTAAAGTCCCTGCCAGTTTGAAGGTCGCGTCATCACCCTGTGGCCAGTAAGGATGGGGTAGAGACACGTGTGAAATAGTCTGTGACTTGGCCCTGGCGACAGTCACACTCACCGGAACTGTATGTGGTGCATGAGGCGCAGTACCCCTAGCTGAGCCACTCTTCTTCAAAGAGCTGGGGTCACCCGTCACTTCCCAGTGCTCTTCCCAGCAGCTAGCAGTGCTGACCAATCTGGGATTTTTCTGGAGTGCCCTGTGTCCCAGACAAGCTGTGGTTTTGGAGTGGCCCCAGCACTCCTCGCTGCAAAACGAATCTGTGAGAACAGGGTGGTATCGTGTCATCACCCTGTGGCCAGTAAGGACGGAGTAGAGACATGTGTGACCCTGGCCAGAGCTTCTTCGGAAAGACTCCAAACCAACATCACTCTACCCTCAGCCTTTGAGGTCCGAGGCACAGTCTTTCTATTCACCGTGATGTGGACACTTTATCCATCTCCTTCAACGCAGAAACCCTACTGCTGCATGGCGGAGAGGATGGTTTCTTGAGCCCAGAAGAAAAAAACCCACTTTGCCATTGTTTCAGTTCACCCATGTGAGCTGTGTGCAGTCCTGTTAGTCGAACAGCTTCCTGCTGCAGCCCTGCTGCCCTTCCCGGAGAAGCCTTTCGCACACAGAGCCGCCACCGCCTCCTTGCTTGCTGAAGCCCCCACCACCTCCTTTTATTTGAAGTGACTTCTGAGCTGGATTTGATTTTCAAGGGCCAAGAGCTGTAGCTCTCCAGGTGTGAAGATGGGATTCTCTGCTTTGCCCACAGGCCAGCTGGCTTTGCCATCCAGCCACACATGCAGACACACACGTGCAGGCACACACGTACAGGCACACACATGCAGGTACACACACAAGCAGACACACATGCAGACACGCGCGTTCGCATACACATGCAGGCACACACATGCAGGCACACACATGCAGACACAGTTGACATGGTGCCCGTGTTGTCCACTTGTCTGCCCTTGGATGCACATGGCGCAGGATGATGGTGAAGCTATTTAACCCAGATCCTTTGCAAAATGATAAAATATAAATTTATGTATTTATTCTCCCCTTGCCTATCCAAGGCAAGAACAGTACGAGGTGGTAATTAATAGCAGCTTCCCTGGAAATTACCACTCACATGTGCGCATGCGTGAGCACACACACACACACACATGCACGTGCGCGCATACACACAGTTGACTATATTAGCTTCTGTGTATCTAGTGATGTGTTTGAAAGGAAAAGCCACACTGGAGCTCCTCTTATTCCACCTTTCGTTCTCTCTCAGATTCCCTTTTCTGGAGGAAATCACCTGAACAGCTTTGGAATTGCGTAAATAGTCTTCGTGACCAAACAAACAGCAGACGGTCCGCCTGAACCCTTGGTTCCTCGGCATTTTTGTTTCTAAATTAGAAGACATGTCCCCCTTTTCCAGGGAATTGGATGCATGAGCGCAATAGTGAGCGCCCAGAGCCACAGAAGCCCTGAACATCAGCCGGTGCCCTCAGTACTGACTCCGTGTAATTTTAGGTCATGTTAGTCCTGATGATCCTAATTCCCGCTCCTTTTTACTAGTCACAGTAGAATAATATCATCTTACCCAAAGTTTCGATATGAAAGTCAGTCCAGAAAACAAAAACCAGCAGAGCCGAAGCTGCCCGCCCGGCAGCACCCTCTGCAGGGAGCCCTAGTGGGGCCACATTCTATCCTTAGAACCATCTGACACAGCAAGTCTTGCTCCAGCAACGAACAGATGCTGATCTTCAGTCTGAGGACAAGATAGAACTGGCTTGTGTTTGGGGACACAAGGTCTGACTCTACAGTGTGTGAGAATGTTAGGCTCAGTGGCAGGCTCCCATTAGCAGAGGCTCATAGAGCCATGAGACTGGGGAGCAAGCAGGTTCCTGCCACTCTCCCCAAGGCACCTGCGCCCCGAGTGGCATGGCGGGCAGGCTCCCACACCCCTGAAGTTGCATTTCTCTGTTTCTTTTTTGCTAAGCATGTGTAGTCAGATGTGTGTTCATTTAACATGTGTATGAGGAGATTCCACCACACCTCCTATGAATAAACATTGACCAGTGGCTGCCTACACTTACATTTATAGTAGCCCGTCATTCTGAACATGCCAGCTTGAGCACATGTGAACGGGCCGCAATGCAAGGTTAGGCAGTTCCTCTTTAGAATGCATGTAAGATGGGAGGGGTACGTGTGGGCTCAGTGCTCTCCGCTCCGTGGTTTGAGTTACACGTGAAAGGTCGTTGCTGATGTTTAAAAGTAAAAGCTGGGCGTGCGTGCGAGGTGTTTTCCTTGTTCACTCGCTTGTCACTTCTGTTAACAGTAGAGGCTGCACCAAGTGGCCCTGTGACCCCTTCCTTCTGACTGTATTTTGTATTTTGATAGAATGATATTTAAAAGAGGTCTAGTTTTTAAATTTTTCCTTTTGCATTGTTTATTTTTATTTTTCAATTACAGTTTGCTTTCAGTATTATTTTGTATCAGTTTCAGAGTTAGACAATCACATTCTTTTCAATCACATAATTTCCCCCTGATATTCACGGTGCCCACCTGGCACCATATATAGTTATCACAATATTAATGACGCTGCAACATTAAAGTACAAAATGCTGTACTTCACATCCCGACGCTATTTCATTACTGCCCATTGGTACTTCTTCACCCTTTACAGACGGTCTGATTCTTGTAGGCACTCTGTGGTACTGTCTTTTGACTAAAATGCATATGAACGCCTGTTGGGTTAGGTTGATATATGTCTCCTAAATGCATTTCAAATAATCTATGGACTTCTAATTTATTGTTATTTTCAATTTATTACTATTTACAGTAATAATTGTGGGCAATAATGAAAAAGGTTTTTTTTTTAATTTTGTCTTTTCCTCAGGCCAGTTTGGAAATAAAGCCTTGCATTTTGGAGCTGCCATGTAAGCAGCTGCTGCTGACAGCCCCAGGCAGCTCCCGCCCAGGTCTCTGTGGTGCCGCTAGCTGCCTCTAGTTCTCCGTGTCTGTGTCCTTCTGGACATGCAGTGATGCTCCAGACACACGCACTATGTCTTCTGGGTGAATAATGTGAGGACTGACGTGTCTCATGGGGAAGGAAATGAGGAGGATGAGAGACAAACCATAAAAGCCAGGAAACGAGAGGGCACACACTTCATTCTGCAAACACTGCAACTGGAGAAGATTACTTTGCACAGTTGTTCCTCCTTGTCCAATGGGGAGGCCTAAATGTAGGCTATTCCAGCTCAAGTAACAGGATAGAGTGTTATAATAGAAAACCAGGAAATGTTCATATTTTCTTAATTAGAGAATACATTGTATTTGGACTTGTCTGTATTATAATAAATTCTAATATGGTGCACACGTGGTGTTTGGTATTTGCATATATGTTCAAGCCCTTGCAGAACACTGACTGAAATTGTTTTGATGAGCATCTTGCTTATACTTCGTTCTGATCCGGTCTACATCCTGGTGAGTCAGATATATTTCAGAATTTAAGGCCACTGAACTCAGATTCCAGCGGTCCTGACTTAGGCAGCTTGCTGGGTGTAAATCTGAATGCTCTTATGTCCACATCTTCTCTGTGTCTTCCAGACAGTCAGAGCTCATTGTAGGTAGAAACCTAGCATAAGGCTAAGAGCTTAGACTTAGAAGTCAGACAATCATGGGTTCATGGCCCAGCTCCACCATTGACCAGATGTATGGCCGTGAGCAAAGCCCTGAGACCTCTGAAAGGCCATCCTCAGGCAGAAAAATGGTGCATGAGATAATTTTTTCCCAGTTGCCTGCAAGGTATGTATGAGCTTTCATGGTCAGTAAGCCAAGGTTTGAGTCCATTATTGTGAGCTATAACTTTCCCGGCTCTGCCACTTCCTACCTGCATGGCCCTGGGCAATGTTCTCAATCTCTCTGGGTCTCCATTTCCCCTCCTAAAACAGGGGTAACAATAACCCAGGACATACCTCATGGGGCAATTACTAGCAGTAGAACTAAAACGAGCCGCCAAGTGTACATCCTTTCCCAGGAGAGGATGCGGGGCCCAAAGAGGTTAATGATTTTGTCCAGAGTAGAAGCAGGTCACCTAACATTCTATCCTCCCCACTCTGCCTCATCGCTTCCATGATTCTGACTCATGCTCCAAAAGGTCACATTAGTTTTTGCCCTTTTTAGACTTGGGTAGACTGCATAGTTTTCCAACTCTTCAAACCCAGAGCATCCAAGAGATCTATTATAAAAGCATCATAATTAAAATATTTGGTTTGACCTTCCCCTGTGAGGGAAATACTTCAAATTGACTGCACAGCTCTCATACTTGTTATGCATTTTCCTCACAAACCACCATAGATTCTGACAGCCACCCACAAACTGTTGTCACAATCCACCTTTGCATCAACTTGGAGAATGAAAGTAACTTACAAGCGGTTGAGAAGGAGATATAGGAAAGCAAAGACTTTGCTAGGAAGGTCACACATAGACGCTGTTAGGCATAGCCACAGCGTCCTCATTAATTTTGCTCACCATGCAGGGAGGCGGGAGAAGAGTGAAGTGATGGCAGCTGAACTGTGTAATAATAAGCCTCTGGTGGGTGTGCTCAGCTAAATGTGACGGCTCAGCCTCTGCGGACGCGTGCGATGAATCCACATGCTTGCCAGGCACCACAAGGAAAAGGGGCTCGTGTCAACTGGGATAAATAGACACCAGGAGTTTCCTGGTTTATTACGAGAATGTATCACTGTCATGCCAGAAAAATAAAACTATTCTGATTAAAAAAAAAAACACAGAGAAAATAAACCAGGGCCACTGG